AGAGGTCCTGGGTGTCCTCTTCCTGCCCCTCTGGGGGTCTCTCTTCCTCATCCACACTGCCTGCTTCCCCCTCTCTTCTCTCCATCATCCTGAGAACCACTTTGTGCTTGAAGAGCTGGGGGGAAGGGAGGTGGGGAGCGAGCCAGGAAGGGATGCCAGGTGCCCCAGGTTAGCTTGTGCACCCCCTGGTCGTGAGACTTCCGTCTCCATCTTGATCCTGCCAGTGCCTCCCTCCTGCCCTATCCCTCGGGCTCCTCTTCCACTGAGTTGGGGAGAACAAACTCTTTAGATGCTCTGTGATCCCCAGGGTGCAGAGAAGGGCATGTGGAAGCAGGTGAGACTACCTACGCAGTCAGCAAAGCTCCTGGGCAGGGCTGGATCTTCTGGCAAATATCTCAGAGTTAGGGGACTCCAGATAAGCAGGCCCAGTGCTCACCCACCTCCTCATCAGAGACCCTGTGAAACTTGCTTCGTGGCCCTTTGGACCTTTCTTCTTCTCCTCCTCCTCCTCCTCCTCCTCCTCCTCCTCCTCCTCCTCCTCCTCCAGGGATTGAACTCAGGGACACTCGACCACTGAGCCACATCCCCAGCCCTATTTTGTATTTATTTAGAGACATGGTCTCACTGAGTTGCTTAGTGCTTTGTCGTTGCTGAGGCTGGCTTTGAACTCATGATCCTCCTGTCTTGGACTCCCAAGCTGCTGGGATTAGAGGTGTGTGCCACCGTGCCCAGCCAGGCCTCTCTTACTTTGTGTGAGTGGTACTGGGGATTGAACCTGGGCCTCATGCATTCTAGGCAAGTGCTTTACTATGGAGCTATATCCCCAACCCTTTTCATTTTTTGTTTTGAGACAGGGTCTCTTTAAGTTGCCCAGGCTGGCCTTGAACTTGTGTTCTTCCCGCCTCAGCCTCCTGTGTAGCTGGGATTACAGGGGTGTGTCCCCTCACTTGCCTGGGCCCCCTTTTAATAGCAAGAACATCAGCACTCAGCCTTGTGGCCCCTTTGAAGAATTTTGCTTCTGCCAGGCATCAGATGTAGGTGAGGACATGACCTCTGCTCCCGTGAACCTGGGCTCACCAGGAACCCCCTGACCTGACTGCACTAGGGCTCTCCAGGCATCCTCGGTCTGAATCCATCCCCTGCCCACCCACCTGGATTCCTGATTTGGTGTATATTCAATGCCACTTCTTCTACCCTCTTCAGACAGGGACGATGTCACCCTACTGGTCACTCACTAGTGACCCAGAATGGCTCAATTTCATGGTGGATGACCTGGAAATGACTCAGTGTTCAGGCCCCTGACCCCTAAGGAGAAATAAGGGGTTGATGCGGTGCCGGCATCAGCCTATCAACCTTGCAGGGTTGGGGGGACCCTAAATGCCCCTCCATCCCAGGGGCAGGCAGTGTTGCCCTGGGGTTTTGCAGGAACTCCTGACTGAAAGGTGGAAAAGATCTCGGCTGTGGGTTGATGGTCGTTAGGGTCTGGATGTGAGGTGTCCCCCAAAAGCTCATGTGTGAGATGATGCAGAAAGTTCAGAAGACAAATGATTGGGTTATGAGAGCCTTCACCCAGTTAGTGAATTAATTCCCTGATGGAATTCGTTGAGTGGTGGGGTGAGGCTGGAGGAGGTGGGGAATTGGGGGCGTGGCTTTGGGGTACACGTTTGTATCTGGCAAGTGGAGTCTTTCTCTCTGCTTCCTGATCATCATGAGAGCTGCTTCCCTCTGCCACACTCTTCCGCCATGTTGTTCTGTCATCTTGGGCTGTGAGAAATGGAGCTGGCTGTCTATGGTATAGATTGAGACCTCTGAACCTGTGAGCCCCCAAATAAATTTTTCCTCCAATAAAACTGTTCTTGTTGGGTCTTTTAATCACAGCAGCAAAAAAAAAAAAAAAGCTACTAAAACAGTGGCCGTGTACTAAGATCCTTATTGTCCTTAGCTCCCAAGAGAAAGTTGGAGAAGAAGGCAAAACACTTGGAGGGGAGGAACGTCCACAGATGTTGACCTTAGGCCAAGGGGAAGGTTCACAGTTTCTTCAGGATTGCCCCTGACTGGGCATCTAAGGTCTGGTGCCTTGCCGCCCAAGACTCCCGGGACTTGGAGGGAGCACAGCGTTATTGGGGGGTAAGAGACCTCGCCAAGAACAGGCGTGGGCTGCTGCTCTCCTCTCCCTGGAACCCACTTTTTTCTTTTTTTGGTCTTGGATATTGAACCCAGGGCTATGTCTGAGCTGCCACGGAGCTACGTCTCCCGGCCTTTTCATTTTGAGACAGGGTCTCGCTAAGTTGCTTAGAGCCTCGCTAAGTTGCTGAGGCTGGCTGTACTCCTGCCTCAGCCTCTCTTGCTGGGATGGCAGGCAGGCCCCATTGTGCTCAGCTCCTCGTATCCTGCTCTTCTTCCCACGCAGTGATATCCGGGAGCCACCTTGGCTGCAGCCATTTGCCTAGAGGCTAGAGGAAGAGGAGCTATGGACACCTTGCTGGGGCTTGCCCCTACTGAAGCCTGGCTCAGGGGTCAGCTGTCCTGATCTCGGACTTCCTCTGCCCCTCCCCCAGGTCCCTGGACTTCTCTCCCCAAGCATCTGTCCTCCATCCTCCTACAAAGACACATCGGTTGTTCCTGAGATTGGAAGGGATGGGACATGGGATCTATAATCCCCAGTACCCTTCTGCCTGGGTGGTGGGGACCTGTCCCAGGGACACAGTGACAGTTCCAAGACATGGAACTCTCTATAACATTCTTTATGCTCCTCTGTCTCCACCCCCATCTTCTACCTTCTGTCTAGCTGCAGGGTATTTATTTATTTGTTTATTTATACATGGTGCTGAGAATCGAAGCAGTCCCTTACACATGCCAAGGAAACCCCCTCCCTCAGAGCCACAACCCCAGCTCCTATTTATTTGAGTTCTGTCCCAGTTGGGCAGAGGGGCCAATAACTGGCTTCTGGCCTGGAGTGGTGGTGCCTGCCTGAAATCCCAGAGCCTCAGGAGGCTGAGACAGAAAGAGCACAAGTTCATGGCTGGCCTGGGCAACTTAGCCAGAACCTGTCTCAAGATTAAAAATAAAGTAAAATAAAAAGGGCTGGGATGTGGCTCAGGGATAGGGCACCCTTGGTTTGACTTTCAGTACTACACACAAGAAAGAGGGGTGCTCGGGACTCTCTCTCTCTTAGGTCATGCATTTACCCTTCCTCCTCTGTGGTAGGTGTCCGTCCCTCCTTCCCAGGTCAACCTGTATCTGTCTCCAGCTGTCACCGGGAGAGAAGGCATGTCTTCCCTCCACAAGCCTTCCTTGATTAGTAGGGAAGTTCCTCCTGAAGTCCAAACTTCAGCTCTCTTGCTACCTTTTAAACCTACTCCTTTTCTGGGACACAGATGGCATCAGGGCTTGTCTTCTAGCTTCTCTATACCCTGCTACAAAAATCCTTCTGAGCCAGCTGCCATCTCTCATCTTCGGAGTAGAACCCAGGTAGGATTTTTATTTTAGTTTTTATTTATTTATTTGTTTATTTATTTATCTATCTATCTATTTATTTATGGTGCTGCGGATTGAACCCAGGGTCTTGTGAATGTGAGGCTAGCACTCTACCAACTGAGCTATATCCCCAGCCCAGGATTTTTTCTTTTTTGTACTAGGGATTGAACCCAGGGGTGCTATACCAATAGCTACCAGTAGTTATACCAATGAGCTACATTTCCAGCCCTTTTTTTTTTATTTTTTATTTTGAGACAGGGTCTTGTTAAGTTGCTCAGGCTGGCCTCAAACTTGCAATCTTCCTGCCTCAGCCTCCTGAGTTGCTGGGATTACACTGTGCTCAGCAGGCAGGGTATTTCTAAAACCCTCTTTTCTTTAAATTCCAATCCCTTCCTGAAGTTCCTCCAGCACATCCAGGTGACCAGCTGTTCCTGAGCATGCAATCCCAGCACTGGAGGTTGGTGACTTGGTGGGGGAGGGTTTGACCTCACTGCAGCTTCTGCAGTGTGTACAGGTTCAGTATGTCTGTGAGCTCCGTGTGAGTGTGTGGATGTTAGGTCCAGGGCTTTTGTGTGGAATCTCCTCTCTTCCATTCTCCTAAAAGTCTGGGGGAGACCAGCAACAGAAAAAAGAGATGGGGGCGTACAGCTCTTTCCTCCAACAGCTGCAGTTCTGTTGCCAACCATTAGGCGTCACTGTTGCTTCAGTCACCAATGCTGGGCAAGGGCAGAGGAGGGGTCTGTTCCCCGAGGTGGTCCTTGATGCCCACCCCGACTCTGTCAGGGTAAGAGCATAGCTGCTGACATAGAGATGGTCTCACCCTGCCTGACCGCTCTCTTGTTGCAGGACAAGGGGGGACACAAGCAAGGATGCTCAGTAGTGGTGGCAGTGTGTGGCAGCTTGAGCACTGTGGTCCCAGAGACACAGATGCAGGAAACTAAAGAGTGAGGGACAGGGCATGAAGCTCAGTGGTAAAGAGGGTGCTTGGCACTTGTGAAGCCCTGCATTCAATCCCCAGCACTAAAAAAAAAAAATTGTCCCAAACTGTGACCTGCCCCTCCCATTGCTTCACCAAGGTTTGCGGTCATTGTCCTGCATCTCTTCCCCTTCAGATGTCCTGGCATTGACATAAAAGCCTTGGACCCTGACTCCCCTGTGGTGCAGCTATAATGTCTTTCAAAGGCAGCTCTATGCGTGGTCTTCCCACTTAAAGTCTGCCCTGGGATTTCCTGGGAGGAAATGCCTGCCCAGGGGCCAGACAGAGCAGGAGACGGCAAAGATGGGCCATGGGGGACACTGGGCTCTGCCGGGAGGGCAGATAGAAAGGTTCCCTGCTGGGTTCAACCACTTCTGGCCCGAGCAGAAGGTGATGGCAAGTTGTCCCGGGTCCTGCCACGGCAGCCGGGCTGCTCAGCGCCTCATGGAGTGGCGTATTTATCCTGTCTTACTTACCACCCTCGGGTCACCACCTCAAGTCCCGCAGGAGGGGGAGAGGAAGTGCATCATAGAGATGGAGAGATTACTGCCGGGACCTGGGTCCAAACAGACCTCAGCCTTTATTGTGCCTTCTCCAGTCTCCCATGAGAGGCAGGGGGTGGGGCGGGGAGGGAAGGAGACGCAGCTCTTTAAGCCTTAATGATCCAAGACGGAGGGGAAGACTGGACAAAGCAGGGAAAGTGCACCAAGGGAGGCCCCTGGGGAGCAAGAAGGAGGAGCACCAAGCTTGGGGGTCCCTGGTGGGGCCAGGGGAGAGGAACTGGGGCAGGCCCACCAGGGCCAGGCTGGGGGCTGGCTCACCAGGCCCGGGGTTCTCGCCATGCCCCCCTGGTGTGTGGGGCCAAGGGAGGAGGTGATGCAGTTGAAGGACGGGCAGCAATCTGCACATCCATCCTGAGCGTCCCAAGCATGGATGGACAGGGTCCAGGCCTGGCTCTGATTGCTCCTGTTGATGAACCCAGATGTCCACAGGAGGTGCCGAGCCGAGGGTGGGCTCGTCCGACTCCGCTTCCAGGGCAGATGGGCCTTCTCCTCTCAGTGGGAGCAGGGCCTCTCCCTCTGCGGGCGGTGGGATGCCTGTCCATGGTCTAATGATTCCTCCCGCCGAGGCCCTGCTTGCTTTCCCACGAACTCCGACTGCTGACACTCTTTCCTGCAGGAGTCTGTTCTGACTGCACCCGCGTCTTCCTGCTCCTGCTCTCTGTCCCACTCTTGGCCCTTCCCTGCCCTGAGCATGGCTGGGGGGGAGGTGAACATCTGGACATCTCAGGGGCACAAAGATTGGGTCCCTTCCTCTTTACCCACGAGAGGCCAGTCAGCTAGGGAACGGGGAGTCCCTTAATGCCCTGGACCCCCGTTTTGGGGGCTGCCCTCTGAGGCCTCTTTTGGAGTTAGTGGGAAGTCGGGCTCTGTGTCAGTGGGTAGCAAGGAGCCCAGGCCTCCCCGGCACTCTGGGCTGTAGTAGAAGGAGAGCAGGCGGAAGGAGGGCCTCAGCTCCTCCTGTATGCTGTCCAGGATGTGGGTGAAGGTCGGGCGCAGGCGTGGGTTCTGCTGCCAGCAACGGCTCATCAGCTCCTGCCTGGCAGGCGGGGGAAGCAGTGTTGAGGACCCTGGAGTCCCAGGCGCTCACTCCCAGCCTTCTGCATTGGGAGGGTCCCTCGGTGAAGCAGAGGGTCCAGGGGCGTTGTGTGTGGGAGAACCAGAGGAGGGCAGTGGCGTGGGGGTTGCCTAGTGAGAGTGCAGAACTGGCATCTCACAGCGGGCCAGGGGGTCAGTGGATACAGAAGCATCAGAGGTGGCAGGCCGGGGTCTTGCGGGGTGGGGTAGGCAGGGGTGACTCACAGCTGCAGGGGACAGCTCTGCAGCTCCTCCAGGACCCCGCCTTCCATGACAAATTTGAGCACTTGCTCATTGGACAGGCCCTGGTAGGGTTGTTCAGCCAGGGTCGCGATCTCCCAGAGCACCACACCAAAGGACCTGAGGACACACAGGTGGGCCTGACTGAGCCCAGTGTACCCTCAGGCTGCCCAGATGACACCCCACATCCCCGGAACCCTCTGATCCCGCCGAGCCCCACCAGACATCTGAGTGGGTGGTGAAGATTCCGTCTTTGAGGGACTCGGGGGCCATCCAGCGCACCGGCAGCAGCCCCTTCCCACCCTTGCGGTAATAGTCTGTCTCATACACGTCCCGAGTCATCCCGAAGTCTAGAAAAAGCGGGTGGAGGAGGTATGGAGGTCACACACCAGATCCTGCCCCAGGAATCCCTCTCCCAGCCCTCTCTGCCTCCACAGCCTCCGAGAGTCTTATGTGGGGGCTCAAAGGACCTCAGAGGTCATCCCACCCAAAGCCTCCAACCTTGGGCCAGGAGACTCATCTGGGGACTGACTTGACAAAGTTCTCAGAGGCTGTCGGGGTTGGAGCTGTGGCTATGGGGAGCTAGCAAGGGGGGGTCTCTACTCCTCAGGAGGCCCTCACTGCCTGGCACCCTCTGTACCCCCGATCTTGACAGTGAAGTCCTGGGACACCATGCAGTTACGGGCTGCCAGGTCTCGGTGCACGAACTTGTTGGCGGCCAGGTAAGCCATGCCATCGGCGATCTCACCAGCCATCTGGATCATGTCCTCGAGTGCTGGCTGTGGGAGCCCAGGATTGTTCTAGGGCCAAGAGACAGGGCTGGTGAAGAAGGAACTGGAGGCTTGTCCCCCACTGTGCCCAAGTCTTCTCAGGCTCCCCAGCCTCTGACGGCTCAGGGTCTTCCTGGTTCCCACCTCTGCTTCAGGCCTCAAAGACCGAAGATGGCTCTTGAGGTCCCCCCGGGCCATTAGCTCCATGATGACCAGAGTTGGCTGGCCTTGAGACACAACTCCCAGGAGACGCACCTGGGATGGGCAGAGAATTTGGTTTCATAAATACCCACCTCCTTTTGACCAACCTGGCCAAAACCTTGACCTGCGGTGACCACAGCCTGACCCAGACATCCACTCTGACCTTTATCCCAGCCGTAACTCCAACCTTAATCGTGATCTAACAGCGATCCTAACCTGAACTCACAGCCCTCAGAACCTTGATCATATCTGAAAATTGTCACATCATGAACTTGGCCCAACTCTGACTTCCATTCCAATCATGACCCTAAAAATCCTCTGGACACCCCCAATCATGACATGTCTCAACTATAGCCATAACCCTAAGATTTTTTTGTTTCTTTTTTTGTTGTGTGTACATGTGTGGTACTGGGGGTTGAACTCAGGGGTGCTCTACAACTGAGCCACATCCCCAGCCCTTCTAATTTTTTTTTTTTTTGTACCAGGGATTAAACTCAGGTGCACTCAACCACTGAGCCACATCCCCAACCCTATTTTGTATTTTATTTAGAGGCAGGTTACTTAGTGCCGCACAGTTGCTAAGGCTGGCTTTGAATTCACAATCCTCCTGCCTCAGCCTCCTGAGCTATTAGAATTACAGGTGTGCACCACCTTGCCCAGCCTCTAATTTTTTAAATTTAATTTTTGTTTTATTTTGAGACAGGGTCTTGCTAAATTGCTTAGGGCCTCACTAAGTTGCTGAGGCTGACTTTGAATTTGTGATCCTCAGCCTACTGAGCTGTTGGGATTACAGGCATGTGGCTTTTTTTTTTTTTTTTTTTTTGAGGTAGGGTCTCACTAAGTTGCTGAGGCTGGCTTCAAACTTTCAATCCTCCTGCCTCAGCCTCCCTAGTCTCTGGGCCCAAGTCACTGGGATTACAGTTGTGCAGCACCACACTTAGGTGATCCCGTCTAGGATCCTAACCACAATCCCAACCCTGACCTTGATGATGCCCTGAACTCATCTCTGACTCTTTCCCTCTTACCACATTACTTTTACTTTAATTATGACCCTGACAATGCCTGACCTCCTTACCACGTGGTGACACTTGAATGCCTTCATGACAGAAGCTTCCTTAAGGAATTCAATGCGTTCCCGTGGGCTGGCCAGCTCATTCACCGTCTTCAGGGCTACCGGCGTGGACTTCTCTCCAGCCTCCAGTCCTTGTGCCAGGCCCTCGTAGACCATCCCAAAAGAGCCTTGGCCCAGCTCCCGGATGATGGAGATCTGCTCCCGGGGCACCTCCCACTCATCAGGGACGTACACTGAGAGGAGGTGGGGGACATGAGGCAGGGATGCTGCTCTCTGCTTCACCTCTACCCACTTCTTCCTCCTCTTCGGAAGTGCCCTGGTCCCAAGGCCACCTTCTCCAAGTATCCTGGAAGCTTGCTTCTCCTCCACTCTGTCTCCCTTCCCACACCACCTGTCCCCCCACCCCCAGACCTACTATCAGAGGCGCTGAAGTACTCCGGATTCACAGAGGTATACAGGGTGCCACTTCTGCAATAGGAAGCAAGGGGGTCAGGCTGGAAGAGGCCTTGGGAAGGAATGAGCCATTCCAGAAGACAAGGAAGGGGACCCCTCAAGGAAGAGTGTTATTGGCCACACCCCAGCCCAGGTCAGGGTGACCCCCGGAAAGCACAAAACACTTTCCAAGCTGATTTTGGTCTGAGTGCTGGAATATGGCAGGTTGGGAATAGGGAGACTCAGGAGTAAAGGGGTTCCTGACCCTTTGAGACATCCCTAGGACCCAGCTGATCAATGTCCTGCCCTCACATCCCTCTTGCATTCTGTCCCAGAGGGATCTGACATCAAGTGTCTGGGACACATGCTGAGGTCTCTTGTCTGTCCCTTGCTATGGCAGGACTAGATTCATTATTTCTCATGTTGGGTGGAGAGTGCGGTGGTCCACCAGGCCCTGTGTGCCCACACGGAGGGGTTTCCCTTCTAGAACGGGGAAAATCCCAGGTTAACCAGGATGAATTGGTCACCCTAGCCTAGAGGTATGTCTCCTCATCTCCGGGGAAGAATCGTTCTGCGGGGGAAGTGCTCTCTGCTGTCTGGTCTCCCACCCTCTGACTGCGGGGACATGAGGAAGAGAAGGACAGTGGGAACTATCATCACCTCTTCCTGCTGTAGAAGAAACCGAGGGCAGCAAGAATGATGAGCAGCATGAGGCCCACGGGGGTGACAGTGAGGAGAACGTGCAGACCGCCGGAGTCTTCCTCCTCTAGTGGTCACAGGACAGCAGAGGCCAAGGTCAAAAATTGAAAAGTCCAAGGGAAGGGGATGCTCCCCTCTAACCACTGGGAGACCAGGATGGGAAGGATGGGGTAGAGGGGGTCTGGTAGAATGGGGATCAGGCAGCGTGGTTTGGGGATTTGTCTGTGTACCTGGGCCAAGGATGTAGAAGGCAACACTGTCCGTCCAGGAGCCATTGCCAGCCAGCGAAGTGGCCCGAACCCTCGCAGAGTAGTTCCCAGGGGGAAGCAGGGCCAGGTGGACCCCACCAACTTTGGCATATCTCAGCCGGGACACGCACAGCACTGTGGCTTCCTAAGGGGAGCACAGAAGAGCTGGCTGGGAAGGGGGTGTAGGCACAAAATAGGGGCTGAGACAGGGGGTGCCTTAGGGTACCTACCTCTCCTGAGCGACGGTACTTGATTTCATACTTGAGGATGAGTCCATTGGGGTCCGGTGGCTCATGCCACCGCAGGAGAACACTGCTCTTGCTGGCTGCCTCCCATGCCACCTTCCCTGGGATACCATCAGCCTCTCCTGCGGGAGGGGCCATCTGACAATCAGGCCACAAGTAGTTCCTCTGTCTCACGTTCAAAATCAAGTTAAACTTAATTAAACTTAAACTGGGCTGAACTGCGAGGTCTGAGGAAGCACTAGGATTATGGAAACGGGGAGGGGCGAGCAAAGCGAGTTTCTGGGGCGAGGAGGTCAGGGACAGCGGTGAGAGGTAGAGGTGGGGGTGTACCTACTGTGGGGCATGGTGCGCGCAAAGACAAAGGTGGCCGCGCTGCAGCCCACGGTGTGTGCCGCGTGGTTGCAGGCGTGGATGTCGATCCGGTACTCCGTGAAGTGGCGCAAGCCGCTCAGCACAGCCCGCTCTCGGGGAACCTTGTCCTCCTGGATCTCAAAATCCGAGCTGTTGCCCCCTAGTCTGAGGGGCCCGGCGGCCCGGCGGTGCCGCACCGAGTCCCTGGAGAGGGCGTAGGTCAGCCAGGGCCGGTTCCCTGGAGTCTCGCCCCTCAGTCCCCAGCGCCATCCCGGCTCACCTTTCAGGGCTCTTGTTGAGGGAGGTCACTTTCCAAGGGGACCTAAGGAGCCCGGGAAGGCACTCTCAGGCCCAACTGGAACGCACCCCAGAGCGCTCTGCGACCGACCGCGCACCTCCTTCTCCCCAAACCGGCCCGCAACTCAGGCCCCACCCACAACCCAGACCCCGCCCCAAGTCCCCACCTCTCTGGAAGACCCGCCCTCCAGGCCCCGCCCATCAGACCCGCCCCTTCGGCGTGTGCCTGGTCGCACTTGGGGATGGTGATGGCGTTGTGCAGAAAGTTTTCAAACTTCTTCTGGAACGAGGCCTCCTGCGCCTCCAGCGCGGGCAGGGCCTGTCCAGGAGGCGAGTGCTGGCAGGGGCAGCAGCCCGGTTCGGTCTCGGCCTCGAGTTCCCCATCTTCGCGGTCGAAGCGGGAGTCGTGGTTGCTGGTGGGCAGCCGCAAGCCTAGCGCCGCGTCCGTGAAGACAGTCGTTAGAGAGGGGTCTTCCCTCCTCTGGTGCCCACCGAGCCCGACCTGAACCCCCACCCTGCCGGCCTGCGCACCGCGGTGGCAGTAGTCATTGAGGTAGAGGTCGCCGTCCTCCGCCAGCCTCTGCCACAGGACCAGGTAGTAGGTGATGTTTCCGTTGCGCTGGGTCGGTGGCTTCCAGCGCACCAGGAGGTGGGAGGAGGAGTTGGACGTGGAGATGACGTCTTGGGGCACCGTGGGTGCTGGGGGTGTGAGGAGAGTACCACTCAGAGGCCGCGGGTTCCCCTTCCAGATGGTGTCTGGTAATGAGTCCCTCTCTCTGGAGTCCATCTCCCTTCTCTGGAGGCGTAGAGATCAGTATGCTGTCCTCCCCTTCTCCAAAGTCCCTTGACTTCACCCAGCTGATTTCCTGCACTGTTCCAACGCCACCCTCCCTAGAACCCAGGTGAATGCCCCCTGTTCTTTCTAGGACTCAGGCCTCTGACCTCCCGGTCTCTAGGACCAGACCTCCAGTGTCCTAGCCTCTCTGTTTCTGGTACCTCGGTCCCCGCCGCTCTTCTCACTAGATACAGGCACAGTGACTTGGGTCCTCTCAGTGCTTAGCCTACCTGCAGGCAGGGTCCGGAGGTAGACGATGGGGCTCTGGGCTCCTTGATGAGGGCTGTCCTCAGCAGTGGTCAGTGTGATAGCCCGCACAAACACTGCATACTGTGTCCAGGGCTTCAGGGGGGCTAAGGTGACCCCTGGCTCTTGGGTGCGGCTTAGGGGCAGCTCCACATCCAGTAGGTTCCAGCTCTGAGTTCCACAGGCATCTGGACCCACATGCTCTGTGGCATTCTGGAATGGGCTGAACACCCCGTCCCCAGAACTGAGAACTGGCTCAGCCCCATCCCCATGTTCTAGCATACCCTTTCCTCCTGAATCACCAGGGGACTGTCATTGTCATTGTTCTTCCACTACCGATGAGGACAGAGCCATAACTCCATCCACCTGATAGACCCTGTGCCCCCTGTGATATCTGTTACCCACCAAATTTGTAATGAATCATCTCCTCATCGTTAGCAGGAAATATCAAGCTTTAGTCACAAGGAACATTAAAAATGTTTGCATTGTAGGCTGGGAGGGGTTGGCACATGCCTATAATCTCAGTGACTTGGGAGTCTGAGGCAGGAGGATTGTAATTCAAGGTCAGCTTCAGTAACTTAACGAGACCCTTTGCAACTTATGAGGCCCTGCCTCAAAATAAATAAAAGGAATGGAGATTGTAGCTCAGTGGTAAAGCACCCCAGGGTTCAATTCCCAGTACCCCCTTCCCAATTGTTTTTGCATTGTGTATATGTGTGTGTGTGTGTCTATAAAGAACAGAAGGTGGATATGAAGTTATCCTAATCTGCCTTCCCCTCAAGTGGAATTGAAGACTATAAGCACAGTTCTATAGCCCCTGGAGGGCTGGTTGCTGGGAAAGATGAAAGTGGAGCCCAATGGGAGGTGTCAAGGTAGATGATGGGGAAATCTGGGGCTTTGTGCTGATGTTCATGATATGGGTTTCTTTGGAGGGAGGTAGAGGGGTGAAATTCTTGCTGAGCAAGGGACAGAACTTGAGGGGATGTCAAAGGGAAAGGGGACAGTCCAGTGTGGTTGCACATGCTTGTAATCCCAGAGACTCTGGAGGCTGAGGCAGGAGGATTGTGAGTTCAAAGCCAGCCTCCACAACTTATCCAGGCCTTAAACAGCTTAGCAAGACCCTGTCCCAAAATAAAACATAAAGAGTGCTGGGAATGTGGCTCAGTGGTTAAGTGGCTCCTGGGTTCAATCCCTGGTACAAAAAAAAAAAAAAAAAAAAAAAAGAAAAAAGAAAAAAGAAAAAGAAAAAGAAAAAAGAAAGCGAGTGGAGGGTTTTAGGCTCAGCAGGAAGGGCCTAAGTGGAGGGTTTTAGGCTCAGCAGGAAGGGCCTCAGTGGAGGCAGAATAGTCCAGGAGTGCAGAATCAATGCTATGGATGAGTCAGGATCATAGTGCATGCATCTGGGGGAGCACAGCAGTCACATTGCAAGGCAGTAATATTAGGGAGTCCCTGGAGGATCCCCATGATTCTCTGCTCTTGTTGCCCAAAAGCATCTGTGCAGAGTTGTGCAGTTGGGAACTTCATGAGTTGGGGATGCCATTCACATTGCAGGCCCTGCAGTGCTTTTTAAAATGTGATCCATGAACCAGCACCTTCAGCATCACCTGGAAGCTCTTTGGCAATGCAGACTTATAGGCTGTACTGGGGACTAGACAATTCAGAATCGATATTGTACAAATTCTCCAGCCCCTCATGCTAGCTCCAGTCACCCACCACTGAGGAAGCCTCCCACCCTCCCCCTAAGACAGGACCTAAGGAAAAAAAAATAAGACTTCCCAACTTTGATTCATAGACAGTCTTTCCAAGCCAGATGGCTGCATCTTCTCTACTTGGGAGAGAGAATTCCTCACTCCTGCCTGCCCAGCCTGCCCTCCAAAATCCATTTCTCCCCTCTTTTTGATTCCTAGCCATGTTTGGAGGGGAAGTTCTTCTGTGTTCTAACTATGATCCCTGTTGCTAGGGTCATTTCATTCTCTTCAAGGAAACAAGCAACCAGTCCCTGGCCATCTCAGCACCCTCCCTTTCTCTGGCTTTAATGAAGTGCTGGCAGAGCTGCTCTTAAAACTGGCCAAATTAATGGGCACTCCCCAAACCACTGCTGGGGCAGGAGCGTGTGGTCAGTGTGGAGCATTAGCATAGTGAATTGAAGTTTAATTATCAAGCCTTCCAGCAGAGGGATTGCAGCTCCCAGAAGCCCTGACGGTCCTCTTCGTCCCTTGGTGTGGGCCCCACACTGAAATGTCACTTGGGGGTCCTAGCTTCCGGCCCTCCGGAGTCCCAGGCGCCCGGCCCTCGTCGGCCTCCGGCCGGTCCCTCTCTGGCGGGCCTGGGTGGCGGCCCCGCCGGGTACTCACGACTCCTTGTAGTAGACGATGAAGCTGAGCAGGTCGCGGGCCTCCAGCGGCTCGTAGCGCTCCCAGCGCAGCAGGATGCGGTCCGTCTCCGTCACGTTGGACACGAAGCGCAGGGTGCGAGTCTGGCCTGGGCTCAGGGACCGGGTAAACACTGCTCCCAACGCTCCTGTCACCTGCTCGAGCCCCACCCTGCCCCGAGGCATCCCACCCACCACGGGACCTCCAAAGTGGCTGTCCCCTTCAAGCGACCCCTCCCACCCGAGTGCCTGTGCCTGGTGCGTTGCAGGGTGTGGGGATGGCAGCGCGCCTGAGCGTCCCGCTGTGCCTTGGGGTCGCGTGGCATTGTGAGCGCTGCTCGCTCTGGGGACGGGTCCCGGGCCTTACAGGCAGCGCGGTCTCCATTGGTGCGGGGGTTGATCTCAGCCTTGTTTTGCCGACCCCGGGTGCCCGTCACCTCCTCCAATCGGTAGATGTGCTCCAAGCAGAGGCGCGGATTGAAGGCAAAGTAGATCTTGCCCACAGGAATGGTGAGGCCAGTGGCCACCCAGGACCCCAGCTGTTGCAGGTTCTGGTTGTCCAGCACGTACAGAGTGTAGTTCCTGGGGGAGGCCAGGCGACCTTGTTCTGTAGGGAGGTAGGGGCTGGGGGTGCCAAAGGGGGTGGCTTTGGGGCTCCTCCTGGAGGGGCCATGCTGGGTCTGGGCAGCCTCTCACAGCCAGAGCACAGGGGTCGGGGGCTTGGGCACACCCACTCTGTGCTACTGACCAGGAGTGTGATGTCTGGCAGGCCATCTGTCCTCTCTGTAGTTCCCATCAGTGAAATGGGCTCAAGAGCTACCCTGTTTCCTTCCTGACTTCATCTCACTTGGAACACTTGCTCCATCCTGATTTGGGGGACACAGGAGGGATGGTACTCATCCTGAGGCAGTGGGTCTCAGGCTGGGGTGTGGGCACCTCTAGGTGTAACCGACAATGTAACAGGAAAGCACCTGACTAATGCTAACTTTTGGGGTGTGTGTGTTGGGGGAGATACTGGTTATTGAACCCAAGGAGCTTTACCACTGAGCCACATCCCAACCCTTTTTATTTTTTATTTTGAGACAGGGTCTCACTAAGTTGCTGAGGCTGGTCTTGAACTTGCAATCCTCCTGCTTCAGCCTTCTGCACTGCTGAGATTATAGGCATGAGCTACCACGCTCCGGCTGATGTTAATTCATTAATTGAATGATTATTTATCCTTATTATTTTAGTACTGGGGATTGAACCCAGAAGCATTTTACTACTATGCTACATTTGTAGCCTTTTTGTTTTATTTTTTTAAATTTTGAGATAGGGTCTTACTAAATTGACCAGACTGTCCTTGAACTTGTGATCTTCCTATCTCAGATCCTGAGTCATTGGGATTACAGGTGTGCACTACTGTGATGCTAATTTAAAGCATTCTTTTTATTTTGAAAAATCCTGGCTACATTCTGGGTAGGTCTTGTCCAGTTGTTAGTGGGAGTGAGTTTAAAACCCAGGCAAGACATGCTATGCAGACATGTTACGCAGGATTGGATGTTAACAATTATGGCCAATCCTTATGGAGTTCTATGTAACTTTGATTTGTATTGTATATACTGCGTTCCAGGAATTATTTTAAGTACTTTACACATAACAATCTAAGTAATATTCACAGCCGCCCCTAAGAAATAAGTTGTGTTAAACTAGCCTCATTTTGTCAATGAAAAACAGCCAGAGAAGTTAAGTAACCTATCCAGAGTCACACAGCTAGTAAGTGGCTGAACGGGTTCCACAGCCCATTGTCTTCACCACTGTTTTGGGAATGCTGAGGGAAGGGGCTGGACGAGGCCTGGTTCTGCCCCCTTACCCATCCACCATGGCATCCCCCCGGATTAGCTTGAGGTTCTTCAAGAAGCCCAGGGACACGAGTGCGAAGGAGTGCTTGATTTTGAGGAAGCCAGTGATGGTCTCCACCAGCCCCAGGCTGCGCTGCAGTTCGGGCTCCAGGTTGTCTGAGGAGGAAGACAGGGGTGGGCCGGAGTAGGGAAGGGGACGGCCCACAGGGCAGGGGCAGGAGGGGTCCAGGGTGAGTGGGTCCTCAGGGCTGGCCCTGGGTGAAGAAAGTGGTACTTAGCCAGCTGGTTGAAATGGGCAAGGCTGGGAGGGCGGGTGTGGTCAGGAGGAAGCCCACGGCCCGAGGAGGTACTGACAGCCCTGGCGGAGGTTGAGGATGAGGCTCCCCTCCACGTGGGTGCAGCCCACCAGGTCTTGAGCCGCCTGCACCGAGTCGATGGTCTTGGTGCCCACCTTGCATTCTTTCGGGCACAGCCCCTCGCATTTATGGCAGAATATGCTGGTGGGGACAGTCGGGTGGCATGAGCTCTGGATCCCCGTGGGCCTCCTCAGGCCTCCTCACTGGCCCAGGCTGCCCCCCTCCACCCTCCGCTCACCTGCTGCCATTGCGGGTGAAGCCTGGCGGGCACTGGGCCAGGCAGCTGCCCTGGTGGATGCCGAAGGTGGAGGCGCGGCCGGGCACCGAGCGCAGGCTGGCACAGCGCTCGGCCGTGACGCAGCGCCAGGACTCCTGCTGGTAGGTGCCTGGAGGGCAGGCTCTGTGGCAGGCTCCCTGGAAGTACAGGTGGCGGCAGGCCACGCAGGCCCCAGGGTCTTCAGGCCGGCTGCAGCCCCCCAGACACTCGGCGTGGCAGCAGGCGCCCCCGGCCGTGCAGGCCAGGCCTTGGGGGCAGGGACACACTGTGGGCAGAGAGCTGGGTCAGACCTCACCACTCCTCTCAGCCCTGTCACCCTATGCCAGCCTGACCCCATGGCACTCTCAGCTTGCATCCTCTGATTCAGTGACACCGGTTTCCTTCCGACAGGGTCTTCTGAGGACAAGGACCATCACTCCTCTCTGTGGCTCTCCACCTCCCACGGTGTCCAGTTGGGGGTGTTAGAACTCAGGACAGAGGGGTGACCTTGCCCATCAGGGTTGCTGCTCTCCGGCCTGCTGTCCTGTCTAGGCCTGGTGCCCACATCATCGCTGGGCACCGTGCCAGGATGAACCAGCTGGTCTTTCCTGAGCAGTGAGGCCAGGGGCAAGGTGGGCTTGGGAGCGTGTGGAGGGAAGGGTCACCACCCCTCATGTGTCCATGCCCTGCCCATTCTGCCTCCCTCTCCAGCTCCCCCTCCCCCTGGGCAGGGGGTGGCCCCAGCAGCAGCAGCAGAGGTGGGTGGGTTCAGTGCCAGGGACACAGAGCCTGGATGGGCACCGGGGCAGCTGGGTGTCTGGGAGCCATGTGTGGGGTGGGGTCAGCCAGGGTCTGTTGATACTGTACACCAGAGGACTTGGAACAGCTGTGTTTACAGCCAACAGGGAGGCTCAGGGAAGTGGCCTCCGCTACAGCAGGGATCCGGTTACTGGCTTGCCCTTATGCGGAGGCCAAGGAGGTGAGAGGAACTGACCTCCATGAACTGTCTGGAAGAGACTCCTAGCACTCCGGCTTCTGAAAAGTCTTCCTTCCTCCCCCTAACTTTCATTTCCCCTCCTCTAGCACCCCTCCTTCTTTCCTCCCTCTCTTCTCTACTCCTTTCCTCTGTTTCCATAAATAATCTCCTCCTCCTCCTTTCTTGTACCTCCTCCTCTTCTTCTTCCCTCTTTTTCTTTTCTCTCTCTCTCTCTCTCTCTCTCTCTCTCTCTCTCTCTCTCTCTCTCTTTCTTTCATACTGGGGATTGAACCCAGGGTGCTCTACCACTGAGCTACATCCCCAGCCCTCCTTTTAATTTTTTTTTTTTTTTTGGAGACAGGGTCTCACTAAGTGGCCCAGGCTGGCCTTGAAATTGCAGTCCCGCTGCCTTAGGATTCCCAGTCCCTGGGATCATAGGTGTGGGCCGCTGCACTTAGCACGTGGCCACTTTTACTATGAACCAGAACCACTACGGTGGCCCAGGCGCTTCTCTAGTACTCTGTGGAACTCACCTCTCCTGACAACCCTGGGATCCCTTTACAGAAGAGGGGCCTGAGGCACAGCCAGTAAGCAGTACAGCTGAGACCTGGACCCAGCCACCTGGCTTTGTCCTAAGACTGCCTGTTCAGTCTTCTGTCCATATGTGCATATTTTCTCCCCACTGTCCCATGCCTGCCTTGTTTGTACCTGTCCATGACCTATTCCATGACTACCTGATGCTGATCCTGCCTCCAGTACTGGGGATTGAACCCAGGGGCACATTACCACTGAACTACATCCCCAACTCTTTTTTTTTTAATATTTATTTTTTTAGTTCTCGGTGGACACAACATCTTTGTTGGTATGTGGTGCTGAGGATCGAACCCGGGCCACATGGCAAGTGCGCTACCGCTTGAGCCACATCCCCAGCCCCCCCTCCCAACTCTTTTAATATACCACGGGGCCTGGCTTTCATGCCATATTGTATCTACTCCTAGTTGCTACATCAGTTACTTAACTCTCCTGAACCTCGGTTTCATTTTCTGTAAAATGGGAATAACTGTAGTACCTGCCTCATCAGACAAGATTAAATCAGTGGCAGTAGGTACCCACCTGCACCATCCTGTGGCCACCCTGGCCCACCAGGCCCTGCTTCCCTGTGCCCCCGGGTCATATTCTGTGCCACACCCACCTCTCTGACAGTGGCTGGAGGTCCAGCACCTGTAGTCCGTGTGCCCACCAAAGGTGGTCCTGGCACAGGGCTCACCAGCGGCTCCCAGCACCCCTGGGCACACGTCTGCACACTCCTCGCCCAGCTTGTTGCCCACGATGTGGTTGGCACCGGGCGCAGGCTGCAGCAGTCCCCAGTCGATGGTGGACAGGTGGCAGAGCTCCTGGTTCTTCTCCACGCGCACAGCCCCGCGCAGCACAGCCCCCAGCGCGGGCAGCCCCACGTCGCGCAGGTGTGGCATCTCGAAGATGACCAGCGCGTAGCCCAGGAAGAGGCGCGCCCCCCGGATCACCGCGAGGTTGGGGAAGAGGTCCCGCAGGCTCTCCAGGCCGTAGACGCGGAAGAGCAGGAGGTAGTCGGTGACCTGGGTGAGGCGGGGGAAACTGAGGCCGCGGAAGTCCTCCCCCGTGGCCGTGAACATGAGCAGGATCTGCAAGTGGCCCTCCACCACGCTGCAGTTCTCCAGCCGCCGCAGCTCCGCCACCTCTGAGCGGATGTCCAGGCTGGGGCACACTGTGGGCACACATGGCATGCGACAGTGAGTGCATCCCGGGCCGGGCACCCTGTCGCCCCTGGCTGCTTTGGGCTAAGGGAACCACATGCGCTGCCAGACCCCGACTGGTGTCAGGCTCTGCTCTGGGCAGGGGTGGCCTCCTCCCAGGGCCTCAGAGGGCTCACCAGCCACTATAGCCACAAGTGAGTCCTTGATTTCCGCTTCCAAACCTACTTCCTGTCACCGTCAATAGCAAGTTCGCTCTTGCAGTCTTGCTTGGCCTTTTTTCTTCTTGGGGTACTGGGGTTCATCCCAGGCGTGCTCCACGGAGCCACATCCCCCGCCCTTTCTATTGTTTACTTTGAGACAGTGTCTCACTAAATTGCCCAGGCTGGCCTCGAACTTTCAATCCTCCTGCCTCAGCCTCCGGAGTCACTGGGGTGACAGGCGGCTGCCACCGTGTCTGGCTACCCTTAACTTTTCTTTCCCTCCCTCTATGTTCTGTGGGCTTCATATTTTATATATGTCCAGAACCTGACCACTGATCACCACTCTCGCTGTTTCCACCATCATCTTATTCTGGATCTACAGCCTCCAAAATTGCCTTCCTGCTTCTGCCTGGCCTCTCTGTGCTGTTCTCCACTCTAGTGCCATGGTGACCCCAAGACACCGTTGGACCACACTCCTCCTCTGCTTGAGCCCCACCTCCCATGACTCCCATCTTGCTTATGTAAAGGTCAAAGCCCTGCAGTTTAGGCCCCTTTAACCCCTGATTTCATTCCTTTTCTTTCTCTCCTTCAACCACTTTGACCTTTTGGATGTCCCTCAAACAATCAGCCAAACTCCTGCCTCAGGGTCTCTGTCCCTTCTGTTCCCTCTAGGTAGAACACTCTTCCACCTACATGGTTTCCTCACCTTCATAAGTGACCATCCTTTTAAAAACTGTGACACTACCCACCCTCCATCCCCTGTTTAATTTTTCTCTAGCGCTCTCAACTCTGGTTAATATATAATCTACTTTATTTATTTTGTTTATTGTAAGCTCCATAGGGCAGTGATCTTTGCTTAATTCATCGCTGGATCCTAGTGCACGGTAGAGTGCATGACACAAAACTGGCACTCAATAAATATTTGACAAGTGATTGAATCCTGAGGCTGGGAAGCAATGAGCACTGAGCTTCACGCCCCCCCCCCCCTTTTTTTCGTGGTCTTAGGGATATAACCCAAGGGCGGGCAGTCTACCACTGAGCTACATCCCCAGCCCTTTAAATTTTTTTTTTTTTTTTTAATTTTGAGACAGGGTCTCAGGCTGGTCTCAGGCCAGGCTGGCCTTGAACTTGCAATCATCCTGTCGCGGTCTCCCAAGTTGTTGACATTAGAGGCATGTGTCCCCATGCCCAACGCCTACATCCTACCTTCTCTGCCTGGCTCCTGCCTTGGCTTACCCTTGAAGGACACTCCATGGCTCCCGTTGCCAGAGCTCGCATTTCAGTTCTTGGGCCCGACACTCTGGGTGTAGATTACCTGATCCCACTCCTGTCTCCAGCCTCAGTCCTTGTCCTGCACAGCCCAGGCCAAGGCTCCTCCTGACCCTCTGATCCTCAGTCACTCACTTCCCCCTCGGGCTCAGCTGCACTTAGTCTGTCAAGGCTAGTCATGAGCATACCTGGGGCATCACCTGACACTGTTGTCTGCGTCTCCATCACCCCCTCCAGGGAGGATGGGGCCCAGGAGTCAGCTCTGCATGCCCCATGATGCCCAGTGCAGGGCTGGAACAACAGGGCTCCTGGGGACTGTGGACCATGGGCATCTGCATCCCACATCCCTCCCTCCCTGGGGACCCAGAATGCCTGCCTTCCTCAGACTGGCCCCAGGTCTACTCCCCGTTGTCGCCCAAGGCACTTGGGGCTCTTCCCCTGTAGGGGCTGGATGCCTGCTTCAGTTTCCCCCAAGGGGCCTTGCGTGGCTCCCCTTGCTGAAGCTGCAAGTCTGGTCCAGCTGACCTGTCCAGCCTCTGCTGCCTCCCTTCCCACCTGGCGCTGCGGCAACATCACACGCACTGTCCAGGCTCATTCGGTGATGGTTTGTTAGAGGGGCAGGGGCAGGGGAGGCTGGCTCCCAGGGGCTTGCTTCCCACCTTCTTCACATGGTTATTAGTGGACCTGAGCTTGGCTCTGCCCAGCAGCTGTGTGTGTGTGTGTGTGTGTGTGTGTGTGTCTGGGCTCAGGCAGCAGCGCGCACACACACCAAAGGGAGGCAGAGAATGGGAAGACACTTCTAGCCCTCCAGGAGAAGGCCAATCAGGCTCTGCCAGGCAGATGGGGGGTTCTCTCAGGCGCCCACTTCCCATCATGCCCCTGCCTCTCTAGGGCTCCCCTGATGGGAGTCATTTGGAAAAACAAATCTAAGACCTTTGCAAATTAACCCCTGCCTTCCCTCAAGACACAGCTCTGCAGAGTGCACTGGGAACGCAGCATCTGTGTCCCCTGACCAAACACTGACCCCACCCACCCAGGGACATGCTCCTGCCCTGACAACTGTGTTCCCATCTGGCATCCACTGGGCCCTGTCCTGGCACAGCAATGGAGGGGGAGAGGAGGGGGCTCAGTGGAGGGGCACTGTGGTTTGCAGGCAGAGACTCTGGGACTGGCATCCCTCAGGGGACCCCCGACCCCAACCCATTTGCATCACTCCCCTGTCTCTGTAGGAAGGGGAGGCTCTCCCCTGCCCCTGGGGGCCCCCAGTCTCAAGGACATCATGAGACCCCTCAGGCAGGCACAGAGCAATAGATTCCTGAGCTCCCTCAGTCTGGAGGAGGATGGTGGGATTGAGGAAGGGGATCCCACTTATTCTTTCCCCCTTGACTCTTCCCCCCATTGCTCCTTTTCCTCCCCCCATTGATCCCCTGCTGTGCCCATGAGGGCCACTTGCCTTCAAGGTCACACCCCAACTTCTGATCCCTACTTGCGGAAAGTGTCCATCTGGGGACGAAGGCTGAGACACTAAGGAAAGGCAGCTCTTCCCCAGAGCCAGTCCCTCTCCCTACAGCAGACAGGTCCTAAGAGTGGGGGACAAGGGACAGGGCCCTGAATGCAGGAGCTCGGGACCTGTCTAGGTTTACTGCCCCATTGACTGAGCCTGTTTCCCGCCTGCACATTCAGTTACTTAATAGCGCCTGGTTCTCAGCTACCTGTCCCAGCCTTGTACCTTCCCATTCCATGGCCCCACAAATGACCTCACACTCTTACAGCCTCATTTATGGTTCTCATACAGATTTTACAAGGATCATGACTTCACAAACTGGAATGGAAGACATCTATTTATCCCATTTCCAAGTCCTCATCTCCTAGGGAGCTGAGAAAAAAAAAAAACACTTTTATGTAGACCACTAGCTGTTTTTCCCAATGGGAAGTCCTTCTGAGAGCTGACCTAAGTCTTCACATTGCAGTAAAGAATAAGATGCATTCCAGCCGGAGGCTCAGTTGTTTGGCTTCCCAGCTCTCTGGGAGGGAGATGGAGGTCTGGGAGACAATGCTGGGGACTCACCCTCTGGTGTATCCAGGCCAAATCCCAAGGAGAGGAGAATCATAAGGTGGCAGGCTCCCCAGGGCCACAGACCAGGCACTGCCATGGTCCCAGCCCTGGCTTGTGTTCCGTCTTGGCCCTCCTCCAGGTGGCTCCAGAGAAGAGAAGGGTCTGACCACCTTAAAGGACGCCAAGACCCAGGCTTCGAAAGGAGGGGAAGGGAAAGGGCAGGGAGAGCAGGAATCCCCCCTCTGACAGCTGGAGGCAGAGGAGGAAATGCGACCACAGACACGCCAGTGACGGGCTGCTGGAGACTAGGGACTCCGTGTGACTCCAGAGACAGAGAGATGGGAACAGAGACGCAGTGACAGGGAGAGCCTCAGAAAGGCCCCCAAAGGGAGAAAGTGACACAAGGTTCAAGAGCGGCCCGAGGCCTCCGAGGTGAGGCGGAGCGCAAGCCCAGGGAGAGCCCCGGGGAGGCCGAGCGTCGTGTCCCTCCGCTGTCCTCCTGGGCACACTCTGCCAGCGCGAGCGGCCGCGCTCCAGCAGTATCTCCCGGGGCGGGCCCGCCGACCGCGCCCAGCCGAAACGGATTGGCTTGCGGGGACTTCTCCCGTCTCTCCGCCCCTCCCGCTAAGCCAAAATATTTAGCCTGACAACTGAGGGGCACAGATCTGTTGGGGAAATAAGGTCCAATTACGAGGGTGGGTGGGGGAGAGGCAAGAACCGAGCTCCCCCAGCCCTCCTCCGGCTGCCCCGGGTCCTCTCCCGGCCCTGCTGCTACCTCTGCTGCAGAATTCCTCCAAGTGGACCTGCACGGCCGGACAGACCGACAGCGCCCGCGTGTCCTGGGGGAGAGGTGTTTCTGGATTCTACCAACAGGTGCCTTGACACCTGCGGGGTCACTCCGAACAGCCTCCACCCGGAGGAGACTGCTGGAACCTGCCGAGGAGGTGGACAGTGTCTCCTGAATATTCAAGCCCGCGCCTCACAGAGCCTCCCTCAGCCTCAGGGCCACACTTGTCCCTTAAAGAGGGCGATCACCCTGGGAGGCTCCGCCTCTGCACGCTCACCTTAGTGAATTCAGGCTGCTCGGTTGGTCTATCTGTGCAGCCCTGTGTCGGGGACCTTGGGGGGCCGTCCGTGCAGAGGCCCTGGCAGCGAGGAAAACTGGTGGCCTCGAGGAGGATTTCCTCCCCCCGCTGCCTGGGCACCTGTCGACCTCCTTCCCCAAAGTCCCTCCTCCTCCCTCTCCCCTCCCTCTCCTGGTCTTGAGATTGACGGGATCTTGCAGATGCCAAGGCTGGGTGCTGAGAAAGACTGGGGCCTGCCTTCTGGTTCCGTGGGTGCTGGGGATCCCGGGGCTTTCCAGGTGCGCAGCCTCCAAGGGCTGACGCGTCCCCAGCTCCACCCGCGGGCGGCTCCCGCGTCCGAAGAGCTAAGAGAAGGTCTATTAATTTCTCCGTGAAGAAATCGATGCTCCTGTCAGGATGGCGATCGATGCCAGTCCTGCTCGCCTGGCCCTACCCGGCTCGGGGGCCCCAGCTGCCTGGCGGGAGTCACGACTGACCCGAGGACCCGAGGCGCAGCACTCAGTGGGGGCTGCGCACCGCGCGGGATCCACCCGACCCAGACCCGGAGAGCGCACCTTTGCGTGTGGGCGTTTAGCGCCACCCTGTGGTTTCTCCTGGTCAGCGGGGCTTCGGCTCCTTGATCTCCATTTGGCTGTTAAAGGCAATCAGTTCTTCCTCTGCCCCTTCGGTGTCCATGCCTAGGTTCTGCGTTTGGTCCTTTGGGGGTCCTCTCCCTTTTCTTACTAGGGTTTAGAGAGTGTTTCACGTTTTTTCTCAACTGACGTGCACCGCGCCTTCAGGCAAGTGCGTCGTAGGGCGGGGGCTGCCTGGTGTGACCTGGACTGCAACCTTTCCCCAGCTCTATCTTCCTCCTCCCACATCTAAAAATGCAGCTGCTTTATACTCCAGGAGAAACAGCGCATCACTTCCCACTTCCCCCACCTCCAGAAGACACTTCGAAGGCGTTCGGCGGCGGCCTCTCCACTGCTCCGGGAGATGGAGGTGTATTAGCGAAAGGACTGGCACCGGGGCCCCGAAAGGGGAGTCGGCAGAGTTGGGGGCTTCGGAAGGAGGGGCGGGGCTAGAGGTGGAGGGGCGGGGCGGGGCCGCCCCGCCCGCTGGCTCCGCCCTTTCCTGGCGGCTGGTCTTTAACACCGCCCAGCGCACATGTCCAGGGAGGCCCTGTGGCTGGGAGCGCACGGACTGCCGCCCAGCCGAGCGAGGCGGACGCCGCCGCGATGCTGCGGGGCGGACCGCGCGGGCAGCTGGGCTGGCACCGCCAGGCTACCGGCCCGGGCAGCCTGCTGGCTTGGCTGATGCTGGCATCCGCGGGCGCTGCCTCTTGCCCCGATGTCTGCTGCCGCTTTGGCCCCTCGGGGCTGCGTTGTTCCAAGGCTGGGACCCTCTATAGCCTCCGCCAACTGCCGACCGCCGAGAACCTGACAGAGCTGTGAGTGTCCGACCCGCGACAGGGCGCGGGGACAGGAGGGCATAGCCCTGCCCCGAGGGCGCGGACTCGCAGCCCGACTGCTGGGTCAGGTGGGGCGGGCGCGGCGAGGGTGGCACCGCGCAGCCTTTGGCGCTGCCCCGGCTTCCTCCACTGCTGCCGCTGCCCCTTCCCCTACTAGCCCCGCGGTCACTGTCTGGATGTTGACTAGAACTCAGGGCAGCTGAGTCGCTGACCTCGGGCAAAGGGAGGGGGGATCTCCGCAGACCAGGTCTGAGAAGCTGAGCAGTCTGAAAGCCGCTTTCTGCAGCTCACCCAGGAACCCACGCTGTCCCCATAGAGGGTGGTAGTTAGCGACGGAGAACCCTCCAGTGTGGCACCTGCGCCCCTTTCCTAGGGAAAGCCATCCCCTTACTCCTCCTTGTGGTGACCAGTCAACCCCAGCTCTTCCCCCGACTTGGGAAAGCTGGAATTGGTGGGAGGTGGCGAGGAAATACACCTCTCCCCATTTCCACCATCCAGCGCCCCCAGGACCCCTCCATTTGGATGTGAGAAATGGGAACCTCCCTCCTCCTCCTCCACTCTCCTCCACTCCCGTCTCCCTTTCACCCTTGTCTCCCTATTTGGGTTAGGGAGACAGGGCTATTGCTGAAGGTTCTCCTGCCTTCCAGGTCCAAACCTGGGAGGAATCTCTAGCATTCTGCTGTCTCCTGACATTGTGCAATAATCGGTTACAAAATACTTAAGCACTTTTTAGACCTAAGGAAGTATGCTGTAATAATTGCCCTAATGATACTCAAGCATTGCCGGGTGACGGCTGGAAAATACTGGAGTATTCTGTGTGACTGGTGGAGCCAGCGAGACTTCTAGAAGAGGGAAGGAACTGCTAGAAAGCCCCTCTCCTGTGGTCTGGACGTAGAGGGTGGGCCAGCCTCCCCGGTCTCCTGCGTTGGACAGGCTAGAAGGAGTCCGAGGTGGGGGTATTGCTGTCTGGTAGTTACTTGAGCAGCCTGCAGTAATTGGCATCTTGTGGTAATTAACGGGAAGGTACTCAATATCTCTCTCTAATGGCCCTAGGGAGACCAGAAGATGGCCTTGTCTTGGTCTAAGGCTAGGTTTCTGCCTGATAGGAAACCCATCCAAGCTGTCACCCCCAGTCCTGTCCAATCATCACTCAGGCCTCCAGTCTGACTGCCTGGGTGCTCTCGCTTCCCAATTTCTTTCCAAGCCCTGAGTGAGTTCAACCCAGGGGTGAAGGGAATGGACAGGCCAGGGGCATGCAGAGTGGTGAGCTGAGCTGTCCCCTTGGGTGGGGCAGCAGTCAGATCGCCCCCACCCCCTCCTGCACAGCCCCCTCCCTCCTCCCTCACCCGTGGAGCTAACAAGGAGATAATGGACTCGAATAGACAGATTGATTATGAATCCAAATGAACGCGGCAGCTTTGAGCACGCTGACTGACAGCTTGCACAGCCCCTGGCCATCATGCTTGTGGGCTCCCTGGGTCCCTACCGCTGGGAACACTGTGGACAGGGGCTGGGGAGGGGGGAGCACAATAGGGAAGTGCCCTCCCTGGGAGTCACTAGATGCTACTCGGCAGACCTCAGGGGCGGAGGACCTGATGTGGGGTGCTGTTGGGGCCAAGGCTGGCAGGAGGGAGGAGGAGGGTTGGTCCTGGTTCCCTTCCTTGGTGCTTACCTAAGGCAAGTCCCAGGACAGAGGGGGAGGGTTCTGAGAACGAGTGGTGAGTCAGGGGCCCCTGGTGTGTGTGGCAGTGGCAGGGGGTGGGGAGGCAGGGGGATGGACATGTCACTGCAGGGTGGCTGAGTTCTCAGGAACTCTCTGGCATGTCAGATCCAGAAGCGAGGCAGAGTCAGCCGTCACCCTAATGCCTATTCACTCTTCTTTCTTTCTTCTCCCCCATCTCTCTTTCTCTGGCCCTCTATCTTTATCTATCGGTCTCTCTGACTCCCTTTTCTTATCTTTCTCCTTCTCTCTCTTTCTCTCTCTCTCTTTCTGACAGTCTCTTCCTGTACATTTCTTTTTCTGTGTCTCTGTTTCGCTCTGTTTTTCTTCCCTCCCTCCTACCCCCCATTCAGACTTCCCATCTTTCTTGTGCTGGGTGAGCCAGCCAGTCCCTCCTCCACCCCATGACTCCATCTCTGATTGCCCCTCTTCCCCTTCCCTGGTCCCTCCTGGGGCAGGAGGAGCCCAGGGGTCCCTGGCTGACAGCCTCTATGCATCTTGGTTGTGAGAAAGAAAGCACTGGGGGAGGCAGCAGGGGCTGCTTCTGAAGTCCGGGGAGGGGCCAAGGCTGTGAAGGGGCAGAGAGGGTGGGGTGTGCTGGTGCTGAGCCCACGGGGTGGCTCCTGAGCGGGCACGTTTGGGAACACACATTTGCATGCCCACAGGGCTTCCTCTGCACTGGGTGGGGCAGTGGCCATGATGAACCTGGGCCCTTTGTGGAGGAAGCAAGGGTTTGAGCACCCCCCCCCCCAGGTTGTGCCTGACGGAAAAGCAGCGCACAAAGCTGAGGAGGAAGTGACCCTGTGTGTTTATGAGCGTGTGCCCGTGCATTCTCGCACGTGTGTGGGAGAGGTATATGGGAGCTTTGTCTGTGTGCTCCTATGTGACGGTGCCTCTGTGTTCCTGCACACACGTGTGCAGTGTGAATTGTGTGAGCAGGAGCAGCTCCGTGCTTATGTTTATGCCCCTGCGAGTGTATATGTGTGCATGCTTGGGTGTGGGTATGGTGCAAAGGGAATGGGAGAGTGTGCACATGTGTGAGGGTGTGCATGTGTGTGTGTGTGTGCCACTTGTGAGGAGGTGTGTCTGAGCATCTGTGTGCCCGGGTCTGTGTGCGAGTGGTGCACATGCATGCATGCACGTTATGGTGAGGGAGTGGGTGGTTGTGGGAGCCCAGGTCTGGGCCTGACCCGTGACAGCCGTCGCTCTCCCCACAGCTATGTGGAGAATCAGCAGCATCTACACAGCCTGGAGCTCGGTGACCTGCAGGGCCTGGGGCAGCTTCGCAACCTGTGAGGGGCTGAGGGCCCTGTGGGAGTGGGCGGGGCTCAGCCAGGGCGGGAACCACAGGGTCAGGGAGAGTTCAAGTGTCCTGAGGGACTGGGAGGACCCTTGAGTCTGAGGGCTGAAGGGTGGGACAGCCAGGAAGCCCAGGGGTCTGAGGGGTCCCGGGCAGCTGCGGACTAAGGGAGCTGAGGAGGGGGCGTGGGGATCAGCCCTGGGGACTGGGATGGGCACCGAGTAGCTGTGGGCTGACCCTCCCCAACCTCTCCAGCACCATCGTGAAGAGTGGCCTCCGTTTTGTGGCGCCAGATGCCTTCCATCTGACTCCTCGGCTCAGTCGCCTGTGAGTGGACCCCGGGGTGGGCAGTAGCGGGTGGGGAGGACACCCAGCCTGGGGCTGCTAATGGACTTGGCCCTCCCTGAGGAGTTGTTCTGAGGAAGGCCCCAGCCTGGTCAGGGAAACTGTCTCCCCATCCCCCTGGGGCGGCTTCTCTACTTCTTGGCCTCATCCAGGACTGCTGGAAAGTCCTTCTTGCTGTCTCACTTCCATGCTTCATTCTTCAGAGACACTTCCCATAGATGCCTGCCCAGTCTGTCTTTCCGGAGTTCAGTGACACACCAGCCTGAAGGGAGCAGGCTGTCTCCCACTGCCCTCCTGGTGGGGAA